AGTGAGCGGGAGAAAAAGAAACGAAAAGAAAAGAAAAGAATTTAAAGAGTCGTGTTATCTGGTGAGTCTTTGTTTTTTTATGTCAACATTATGAAAATTCATTCATGTGAGATTTATATAAACAAATTATTAATTTATAATATTTTGTTTTTAGGGAACTGCCCTGGTTTTTCAAATTCTGGCAAGTATTTTTTTTTCCTACACATTAACTGTACTTACTTTGAATGAAAACACTTCTTTTTGACCTGATGCATCTTGCATTTAGGCTTCATGTACCTTTGTATTACTTCCAGGTTCTTACAGAGAAATGGGACATGAAGTCAGAAGCTCCCTTAGTTTGTTTTACAGCATCACAATTGGGGTTTTATTAAGTGCCTGTTCATTGCCTCTCTTCTGGGAGACTGAAGTTCAAGTCAGATAATGGTGAAGGCAGTAGATACAAGAAAAAATAGACACCAGAATGCATATTGAATAACAGAGATACTTACTAGTGTATATTGTAATACAAAAATCTAAAAGGGTAAGTGTATTGTTCATTCTCACTTTAATATACATGTCTGTTATAAGGTATTTTCAATAATTAACTTAATTGTTGCTCTTTAATAATAAATTTACTTTCTTATGAAAAAGGATATAAAAATGTTTGATGTTCAAATGTTTATTGCTTATTTAAAATTTTTGAGATCCTGATAGGCCATTTACTATGTGCTTGGTGCTGGACATTAGACCTCTAATTAGACTAAATTACATTAGTACTTTTACCACTTCCTAGACAATAAAATACTTTAGAACATCTTATCTCCATTTTCTTCTCCATTATTTTATTTTTGCCATATTTTAACCTACAGATATTCAGACCCTCCAAGACTATTGCACTTACTGTTTTTCTGCGTTTATTCAGAATTCCCGACATTACCTTTTTTTGTTGCAACTCCTTTCTCTGTTCCTTTTGTCCACTGCTACTCATTTTCCTTCAACTTGAATTCTCTTTAGTATTTCTTCTAGTGCAGCTCTTAGGGTGGCACATTCTCCCAGGTTTAATTCATAATCCTTTTTGGAGGGTATTTATTACTGTTTATTGAATTCTAGGTTAGCACTTGCTTTTTTTTATACTTTAAAAATCTTGTGCCATTATTTTATTGCTTCCATCGTTTCTGTTCACAAATCATCTTTTGGTTATAGATGATTTTCACTTTGTATTTTCTTTCCAGTAAGTTAATTATTCACATTCAAAAGTATTTTTTATATTTATTCTACTTGGGGTTCATGAAACTTCTTGAACCTGTGACTTCAGTTATCACTAAGTTTTAGAAAATTCTTAGCCTTTCTCTCTCCCAACATGGTTCTGTCCCATTCTCCTTTCTCTCCTTCAGAGAGACTCCAGTTACACATATTTTTGAGCTTTTCACTATGCTTCATATGTCTTTTAGCTTTTAAAATACATTTTCCATCCTTTTGACTCTGTGCTTCAGTCTTAGTACTTGGCAGTGTCATGCTTCAAGTTCAGCAAACCTCTGTCCATCTGTGCCCAGTTTGCTCTTAACCCCATGTCCTGAGCTCTTTGTTTCAATTATTCTATTTTTAGTGTAGAAATTAAAAATTGTTATTAGATTCTAGTTCTATGTTAAAATTTTTCATCTTGCCATTTATTTTTTTGAGTACATCCATGTAGTTCTTTTAAAGTCTGCATCTCCCAACTCAATGTCTGTATCAGTACATTTTTCTCTTGTTCCTGTCTGGTAATTTTTTATTATGTTCTGGACATTGTATATAAATACTGATAGGGGCTCTGGAAGATGTTTTCTTCCTACAGAAAGAATATGCTTTTGCTTTTTGCAAGCAGTTAGGTAAAGGACAGATCACTTTAACCTGATCAGGAATTGAGTTAATTTAATGCTGATCAGTCTTTGTAAAAGCCTGTCTGTTCCTGTTTCACCATTATCGTCACAACTGTAACTTTTTAAGTGTCCTAACTAAGAGCCTTGGGTATTTACTGGACCTCTTCTCTTTGGAGAGCTCTGAATTCCAATTTCCTCCTTCCCAGCGTTGCTCATCTCTTACCTACCACTTTCTGCTTTCACCTCTCAGGGTTTCATCCTGCATGGAACTGGGCAAATGCCTCAGGAGAGAAAGTGGGGCTGAAACTCAGAGTTAAATTTACCTTCTCTCTGGAATCTCAGCCACTCAAATGTTTTGGTAGCTCTTTGATGACTTCAACAGATTTAAAATGAAATTTCTCTTGTTTAGTTGTTCTTGGCAGAGAGTTATTCTGATACCAACTAATCAGTCATAGCCAGAAGTTAGGAATTTAATTTTTAAGCTTTACTTCCAAGAAATCATGGTAGCTGTATAGATTCCCCTGACCAGAGAGATATTTCTGGTTTTTAAAAGTAAGAATCCTTCTTATTCTCTAATCCCATAATTGCTACCTAGTGTAATTTCCTAGATTATGAGACAATGGAGCCTGAAATAGAAGAATATACCCCACTCTTTAGTTGGTAATGTGGGAAGCCACACATCTGTAATTCATGCTGAGGGTTCCCAATGTCTTTTATAGCTTCTCGTGTTACACTTACTACATTGTATTGTGGCCATTGCTTTGCTTCTCTGTCTCCTCTGCTAGACTAGGAGCTGGGACTCTCATCTATTCACCATTATATTTCAGTGTCTAGCATTTAGAAGGTATTTAGCAAAGGCTTCTGTAGTAAAGGCTTCTTCTAGATAAGATTAACTTATGTAGATGGGGAATACCCTTTAAGTTCTCATTAGCAGTAGTGTGAATTCAGAAAGGTGTTCTTTTCCCACCCCGACTTTGCCCACATTTTGGATGAGGATCATATTTAGAGTCGGTGGATTCCCATGAATTGAATGCATACAGGAGGGTTGAGGGTTTTCTGGTTACTGAGACAGTGGAAGAGACTGATGGTAAAGTACTGGAAGGGAAGAGACTGATAACGTGGACTTAAAAATGGCTATCAGGGGACTAGTGCTCACCCTTGCCCACATCCCAGATCTCTGAATTTAAAGTTCGGAGTTGAGTAAAAGTAGAGCAGGACACAAATGGAATACGACATTCTCCTGGAATCATGATGCATCTAGCCCAGGGCTCTGGTTGTGCCTCCAACAAACTTCCTGCTATACCAGTGCTTCCTTTACCTTTTATTAGCCTAAGACATTCATGGAAAGACTTAGGTTTTATTTGAATCAGGTATATACAAGTATTTTAGCTATATTGTTAAAGGTTAAAATGTAGTCCTATTAGGTAATAATGTGCTCAAATTATTCTGTACAAAGGAATACCTTACTGACTTTGCTTTCATTCCAGATGACTGGTATCTGAATTCCACTAAATGTGTAGTGAGTATATTCTCTATATGATTAAAGTTGGACTTATTTAAATTAATGATTTATTTAACTGACATGTATCTCCCTCTCTTTCAGGTTCAGATCTCTCTTCATGCTTAACATTTGATATTTCCAGTAACTTGAACCAACAGAGCTGTCAGTGACAGTTGCCTGAACTTCTTTTACTGAGTATCATATGCCCTAGAAACATACCATCCCATGTTTAAAGAATGGAAAGCCAAAGATTTCTTACCTTTACCCCCTAACATTGTCTCTCTACAGCATACCACTGGTCAATTCTATGTATTTCCCACCTAACATGCCCAAATTAAAGGCAAATGAAATAACTTCTCCAGACTTTCCTTACTCCCAATTTTGGAAATAAAAACTATATTTCTGAGATTCCAGCTTCTGTTAATGGTGGAATAGCTTGATTATCCACAGGCAATAATGATGAAATATGGACAATTTGAAAGTGTTAGAGAGTAAGCAGAAACAGGCAGAAACTGAATAAGCCTGACCTTGAAAGTATGGCAGAATTGATAGTGGATGACATTTGTTGTTGGGTTTTGTCTCAGAGCATTTTTCAGTGTCGTGTCATGGACCTAAAAAGAAAGTCTCAGAAGATGGAGTTCAAGGCCAACAGAAGAACTAGAAAATTAAAGGCAAAAAAAATCCAGTTAAAAAAAAAATACTGTATATCTGAAGAAATAAGAAAATGGGATACTTCCTTAAGGGGGAAAAAAGTCAATAGAAACAGACCCAGAGGTAACTCAGATGTCACAATTAGCAGACCATGACTTCAAAGCCACTATTAAAGCTATGTTCAAGGTTATAAAGGAAGATAAACACACAGTGAATTCACATACGGGGAATTTCGACTGAAAAATAGGAACTGTAAAAAAAAAAAAGACCAAATGGAAACTCCAAAGCTCAAAACTATAATAACTGGATGGAAAATATACCGCATGGGTTTAACCTCAGATTGGAGACAACAGAAGAAAGAGTCAATGAACTAGAAGATCAGTAGAAATTATGCTGTCTGAAGAATGGGAAGAAAAACAAAACACATATCTTAGGTGAAGACAAGAAATGAAAGTATGGCAGAACTGAAGTGAATACTCAGTGCTAATACTAGCAATTAATTCTTGAAATTAAAAAATTGCAAAAGAAACAAGATCTAGATTTCAAGTATCTAATCCTGGTAGTGTTTCTCCCAAGGATGAGAGGGAACCTAGTATCTGATTTCAAAGTTGTTTTCCTTGGTTTTTCTAAGATGATTTCTCTCAATGTGGACATCAGTATCTTAGTTTTATGTTCTCTTTTTTCCCCTCATTTCTTCCAGTGGCTAATGACCTTTTCCTTCTGTGTTGTATTCAGGAGCCAGTTAACTATGAACTAGGAAACAACTTTGGACAGTGGACTAAGGCATTATATAAGGGAACAGGGCATCATATAAGGTTGCATTCTTAGGTGGTTTGCCTTTCGATTTACTCTCCTGTTGTGTTCCACTTCATAGTGGAGCATTTATTTTTAAGCACCCATCTCTGTTTAGAATCTGTGATAGAAAAATCCCAAATGATATTGCAAAATAAGTGTATTTTCATTATTGATCCCTGTGGACAAAACTGCCTCTTTTGGTTTGCACTTCGTAGGTGTTTCACCAAAACAAACGGCACTTTCAGCAGCAGCCCCCTTTCCGTGGTCCCTCTGGCTGCACCTTGTCCCCAGGATGGCTTGGAAATGAAGCCCCTCAGGCACACACCACCACCTGTGTGTCAAGCTTCCCCAGCCGCCGACTGCAGCCCGTCGCCGGAGGAGGACGGCGAGGATGAAGCGGCGCCAGCACCTGCTCGCCACGCCTGCGGTCAGGACAGCAGGCGTGGGGTCAACGCTGATGTCACAGAGGGTGCAGCAGAGCCCGACAGAGGTAAGGGGAGGCCTGATGAAATCCAAGTTTTAGTCTTCATATAGCTAAGGTAAGGGAAGATGAGGCAGAAGTGTTCTCTGTGTTCAGCTCACATAAGTTCTCAGGAGACCGGGGTAGGGAGGGTGGCGGCGGGGGAGGGGAGGGTGTTGGATGCTTCAATCAAAGGTGACTAGGTAAAGTTTGAAGTTTTGTTATTATTCACCTCCTTCATCTCAGGCTGTTAATCCCGTGACACTTCAGAAAATAAATCCAAATAGGCTCTGATTCAGTTTGCACCTGGACAGTAGACTTGCTCTCAGAATGTATTTTGTGGTCATGGACCTCTATTTCTTTAAGGTGGTTATTTTTGGCCTTTTAATGGGTTTGTTTTAACCCTCAGAGGAGTTGTATAACTGTTAATGAGAGCTGAGTTTCCTTTTAAACCTTTTATACCTTCTGTCTCCCTCAGATTCAAACTAAGCATAACTGGGCTCTACTTCTACTCAATTATTCTTTCTTTATTGCTCGAAGTAAAGTGTTTAGCCTGCTTTGTGAAAATCGGCTTATATGATTTCATAATGCCCCCAAATCTCTGTTTTTCAGGAGACAGCTATGTCCATTCAGAAACAGAGACCAAAACTTTAAGTTGGAATCCTCTTATTTCGCCACCTGCTTCAAAGGACTGTACTGAAAAGACGACGTGGTCTCCTCCTGGCATTCCTTTAGACAGCCCTTCAGGGGTCCTTCAGCAGCCGCAGGAAACCTGAGGACGTGCACATGACAAGTCACTTCCCACTTCAAGCCAGTCACTGCACAGAACAGGCCTGGGGATGGACTGTGTGAAGGACGTTAATTCAAATCAGAGAAAAATGATTATTTATTTTTGTAGTAGTAATGTCATATGAATGTATCTTAAAATGTGTGCCCTTTTATATTATTTATGCCTTACAATTTGTCCTCCCTTTTTCTTCCTCCTCCCTCATTAGGCAACAGCCTAGTTTTGCATAGTTTCCAGTCATCCGAGAGTATTCCATGTCTTCCGAGAACCTCAGTGACAGACCAGCCTGCGGCTCATCCAGCTAAGAGGGCGTTGCGCAGGCGTCTGAAGTTTTCAGGCAGAGAGCTGTCTTTCAATATTATATTACCAGACTCTCTGAGACCGTTTGGAAACAACCGCAGTTGTAGCCTGCTGTTTCTGGTAGCAGATCTCTTATGAATTTTATTCGTGCCTTCCACAAAAGTGACGGCCGCCCTGTCGACTCCCTGCACGTGGGCACCGGTTACGGTCCGTGCCCCAGGCATCAGCCACGCATGGCGCCGTGGGCCTGGCACAGGCGGGGCTGGGTAATTGGGTCCCCAGAAGGGACCCGAGCAAGCGAGGCCAGAGAAAGAATGCCTTCCAGTCTTAGGGCTTTAAAATTGCACGTGTTTATAAAATGGTCACCATGGGCCCCTTTGTAGCTGTTTCTAAGAGTAGGGACAAAATAAGACTTTAAACTGAGGCCTTGAAGAGAAGGATTTACATTTGAAGGAGACGGGTGTGGGGGAGGGTTTCCAGGGAGCCAGCCTGGCAGAAGCTCCCTCATTAACACAGAGCTCCTGGCGCTGCACCCCCGAAAACCGTCCTTGCCCAGCTTCCAACGTGGGAGATGTGATGCTAGAAAAGACTTCATTTGGAGGGTGAGGAGGGTGTGGTTTGAAATTCCCTGCCTTTTTTGTAGAATGTTGTCATTGTAAACAGGCACCGAAAGCGTTGGTTAGCAGAGCCCATCAGTCACCGCTGCGCTGCCTCTGAGTGACTGGGTATTTGCAGCTGCCTTTGGAGGCTTTTCTTCTCCAATTCTAGAGAAAAAAAAAAACAAAAAAACCCAAAACACAAAAACACTGTGTGTTGAATAGCTTGAGCCCAGCTTTAATGGATCATTGCTCCTTTTTGGGTTGCATGTCCCTGTAGGGAAAGAAACTGAAAATGATTCTCTTCAGAGTCCAGCAATTTCAGCATAAATGAAAAAATGTTACAGTTTCCCAGAAATGACAGCGAAATAGACTAGAATACTATGTTAATCAACTTTCTATGTAAGTGCATCAGTAGTCCCTTACATATGTTTATATGTTTTATAGATAGAACTGTTAGTGAACTGTGCTGTTGGAACTGAGGCACTATGCAAGAACTCCTTCCAGTAGAATGTAGTGAGTGTAACTTCGTGGTCAGGTATTAGGGACGCTGTAGAATCAAGGTCTCCATCCCAGGCCAGGACAGCAGGTCCGTGCCTGTGCTGTACGGGATTCCTTCGTGCTGCGTAGATGCAGTTAGCTTTGGAGGGGGGATGGCTGCGTCCCCGACTTCTGTGACTAGCAAAGGACGAAGTCCTAGGACACAGAACATGAGAGCATGCCCCATGTTGGCCAACCAAGGGACAGCAATACTGTCACAAAGTGAGGTTTAGAAAACTGGGGAGTAAACGTTTGTCGGCCGTCATTTTGATTCAGGAAACAGGTGTGTTAGCGTGAGCCTAGGTCCTAAACTGCTTTTAAAGATTTGAGTTTGGATATGGGATCTGTCCGGCAGGAAAGGAAAATGACTTTCCCTTCAGGGCAATCTCATTGTGGACTGCTTTATTTATATTATTAGTAACGCTGTTTTAAGTGTTATCCCTTTTATTGTATTTTATTTATAAAAAATGCCTTTATATATTGAGATATATAAATATAAATATAACTATATATATTAATTGCCTTCATGTTTAGGAGTTATGAGTTCCCCGTAACCATGAGTTGTTCTGAACTCCCACCCCCTGCACGGTCACTGGAACCAGCTCTGCCTGAGGTCCCCTCGCCCGAGTCCAGGGCCACGGCGCACTGCAGGAGGCGGTGCTGCCTCTGGCACAGTGACAGCTGTGTCCCAGGCACTGGGCTCAGAGCTTGTTACTGCTATCTTTTTAACCCTCACAACGAACCCACAAAGGAGGTGTTGAAGACCTCAAGTCTCACAGCGAGCCGCAGAGCCCGGATTGGAACCCAGCCGACCTGGAGCTGTAACCTGAGCTCCTTCCATTTTTCCACGCTGCTTTCCAAATGCATGTGGATCCCCCTTTGAATGGAACCGGCCCCGCTCTGCGCACTCCCTCGGCCCCGCTGTGAGACTCTGATGCTCCAACACCGCAGCCAGAGAGGCCGCCCCGTGCGCCTGGGCAGCTCTGTGCTCGCCCTTCGCCTCCCTGGAGTCCCGCCTCTCCCGCTGAGGCCCCTACGCCCCGACCCCGACCCGAATCCGATCTCCACGTGGCTTCATGATACTGTAGCTGACTAGGCCTCTTCATGTTCCTTTTCGCCCTAGAGTCCCCTGTGATTCTGTCATTTAGCGTTAAACTTCCCCCATTTCTGTTCCGTCACTTCCCTCGCTCCTTTTTTCCTTTATGCCCCGGTCGCTGCCTGGCAGCATACAGGATGCAAGTTCAATTGCAATGTTTTAAACCTTTTGAAGTGGTGCTTCAGGATACTTCTTCCCGGGGTCATTTCTGTGGAACGAGCCTGAGGACGGGGCGTCCCTCGTCAGGGCCACCGCCCCCCAGCTCCCACCCCAGCTGCAGCTCTGCTGAGGACTTAATCGCATGATTGGATTCTGCCTGCGTTGCTCTCTTTTAAAGCAATGACTATGAGATGCATGTTTTTGTATCATATTGAAAAATGTTTTATTTTCCTTAAAGTTGTAATAGTGTGTTTGAAATTGTACATATTTTAAATGATGGAGCTTTGCCAGGTTTTACTTGGTGGATATCATTTTATATTAAAAGAGAACGCTGCTTCCATGGAGAGCGGCAGCAGAGACGGGGGTGCCGAGATACTCCCTGTGGGTAGGGAAGCTGCCGACGGCTTGGGACTGGGGTGGGGGGGTGTGTCACTCGGAAACTGTTTGGAACCTCCACCCTGCGTCCCCTGGAAACCCCCCCCCCCCCCCCCCCCGTGCACGGCCGAGAGCCCAGTGAGTCAATCCCTTCTGTTTGAACTGCAGAGAGCCAGGCCCAGAAGCAGCAGGATCTAGGACAGGTTGCTTTTTTTTTGGCGGGGGGGATACCTGAACCATGGAGCTGTGTCAAAGCAGGTAGAACCCCCTTAGGGGAACGCAGTATTTCTTTGGAAAGAAGAGAGTGAGAGAGGAGGATGAGGAAATGGCAAGGAGTGGTCCCTCCTCACATATCCCTGGGTTTTTTTTTTTAATCCTCACCCAAAGATATGTTTATTGATCTTAGAGAGAACAATGTAAGAGAGAAAAATTGGTCGGCTGACTCCTGTACGCACCCCTGACCAGGAATTGAACCCACAGCCTTCTGGTTTACAGGACGACGCTCTAACCAACTGAGCTGCCTGGCCAGGGCCACATGTCTGTTTTCTCCATCACCTAGAGCAACTTCTCTGTGAGCTCCAGGGTAGAATTTAGCCACCTCAAGAAGCAGCTTTGTTTTACTGCCCTAAAAAAAGAAAGAAAAAAATCAAAGTGTCTGGGCTGCTTTGACCAGAAAGCCAACAGGGTCCTTTGCACGGGATGAGGTCTTGTTCTATCTTATTTTCCATGCTTAAATAAGCCTTCCCTAAACCTGAGCTCCAGGCCCGAGAGCGCTGAGGGAGCCCGAAACCCCTTTTCTAATAAAGTCTAAGTCTGCGAGAACCTAAGCAGCAACCTCAGCTTCCGTCACTTTTCCCTCTCCTCTCAGGCGCCACTTTCCTCATTCCTGGCGCGACCGGGCCCCGCTCGGTGCTGCCGCTCCCCCGCGGAGCCCGCCGCGCGCCTTCCCTCCCAGCCCGCCGAACAAGCGCTCGTTTGTGTCTCCCCGATCGCAGGCGCGCGCGCTCGGAGCCAGTGAGTCACGCTGGCAGCTGACGGAGTGTGACTTTGGGACAGCCTGGGACCCCTCCCCGCCAGCTCCCCAGGCCTGGCGGCAGGAAGCCGCAGCTGCAGCCTCTGCCCTGTCTTGTTGCCACCGACTCCTGGGGTCTAGCGGCTGCGGCCCTGGGACCCCGGCAGGCTTGGTGACACTCCTACACCAATGGTAAATGAGAGACAAAGCGCCCGGCCTGGGCGCCGGCTCTGCCCCCCCGCACCCCCTCCCCCGCCACTCCCTACGCAGGTCCTATGACCGAAGCTAGAGTCCTAGAGAAGAGACGTGGAAAGGAAAGAACTAGAAGACCGTGTCTCTCGCTACAGTTGAATGAAGGGAACACGTGCCTACCTATCTTGCTTCCCATCTCCTAGCTTCCTCCCAGTAGGAAAACCTGGGAGCCGCCCGAACCTGGGGGTAGCTCTGCCCTGTGGGATTTGCAATTAAAACGACCCTCTGCTCCTGCGAGTGACGTGGGCGATTTATTGAGGAACTGCTCTGGAAGCAGCTAGCTGCACACGCAGCACCGGGCACTGCCCCCAGGCCGACGCGCTCACGGCCCTCGGACACCCGGCCGGGCTGCTCTCCAGCTGCGCGTCTTCCGCGTCCCTCCACCTCCCTTTCCCTGGCGGGGCCGCGGCTTCTCTTTCAACCGCGTCACTCAGCGGCCGTGCGGCTGGGCCTTGCGCCGGCTGCGAAGGCTGGGCATGAAGTGGGGAAGGGGGCGGTCGTGCCTCAGCGCCCTTGCTTTGAAGACCAGGTGTGACGGGGCGCTTCCGGCCCCCACCCGTCTCCCTGAGCACTGTCCTCTCGGGGCCTCACGGTGTCGCAGTCACTGTGATGGTGACGTGGACGGGGGCATCCGCGGGCTCTTGTGCAGGGTCCGAACCTGGCGTGGCGGGGGGCGTTTCAGTGCCTGAAGAACAGATGTGAACAAAGGAGACAGATGGCTTGGGGGTGGCCCAGGTGGTTCTTAGAGGAGGACGGGGGCTGAGCACCCTGCATGCAACTCAGGACCGCTGGCCCTACACGGGAGTAACCTTTGGGGTTAAAGGCACTTGCCTGCCAGTGCCTCTGGGCCTTCCATTGACTCCCTGTGTGGGTGGCTTTGCTCCCTGCGGGGGAAGTGGGAGCGTGAAATTAGTGACAACCACATTTTCCCAACCCCCTTTCCAGTGAGAGGAAAACCCTGACCCCCAGAATGCCGGGGTCGCACTCACATGGGAGCGAGCAGCTGGCCCAGGCCTGCGGAAAGGGGAGGAAGAGGCGCTGCGCCTGAGCGGCCCAGCCGAGGTCACGGGAGAGCAACCCTCCCTTCCCCACAGGCTCCGTGCAGGGACCCGGGCCCGGGGGGAGCTTGGAGACCTGAGGTCAGGCTTGGAGCCCCAGCAGACATCTCGCAGGAGGACATGTTACGTACAGAAGAGCCCAGAATTCCTGCCCGGGGGGCCCTGCACCTCCCTGGGACAGGGGCAGACCTGGCCGCCTTCCAGGCCAAGCATCCACCCCCGGCAGTTTCCCACTCACGGGGGCAAGCATCCGGGTGCCGGGCAGCGTACTGGAACACCAGCAAAGAGGCCACCGTTGCCACCAACATCCCTGTGCCTGCGGCACCCAGCACGGCTGGGTAGGTGCTGAACGCGGGGTCGGCTAGGAGGGGAGAGCGCTGGTTGCACGGGATAGGTTTAGAGCCACGGCTGAACTTGGCAGTGGTGGCTTACAGGCTACGGAGCAGCCGCCGCCCCGCTCACCCGTTCCCCTTCCACCTGCAGCGAGGGATCAATTGTACATACTGATTGTACAATTGATTGGGGGGGGGGGCAGTCTCTCCCAAGGGAGGAGGTGCTCTGCGTGCCTTCTGTTCTTGAGATTTGAGTCCCCAGCTAAGTCCCGTTTGGACATAGAAAGCAGGGAAGGGAACCATAAAATGAGGGATGCCCAGGATGGAGAGAGAGCACAGGAAGCCGAGCCCCCTGCGTGCCCCGGGAGTGAGACTGAGGCACAGAGCAGGGCCCTATCCTTCAGTCTCCCCCTGCTCGGTTCCGATTCAGGCTGCACTGCGGTTCCTACCGTCGGCCCCCCGGGTCCCCCGGGGTGGGCTGGATGGGAAAGGCGGCAGTGGAGAGGGTGCCTGGGGAGAAGGCGGAGGAGAGGACGGGGCTGCAGGGATGCAGCGGAGAGGAAGAGGAACCAGGGCTCGGTTTGGGGTGAGCCTCGCCTCACCACGGCGCTAGCCCCAGCACCTGGTATCTTCACCTCAGAGGGGTGTCCGGCTGTGCGGTGGTTCAGAGCCAGCATGCGGAAGGCGTAAAGCACCCCCGGGTCCAAGCCCCCCAGCCGCTGGGTTCTGCTCTCGGGCCCGATGTCACCAGCGGCGGTCTCCCAGGCTCCAGCGCCCGGGCCTGCGACACTGGGCCGTCGCTGCACCAGGAAGCCCGTCAGGTTCCCAGGGCCCTTGAGGGCCCACTGCAGCTGCACCTCCCTCCGGTGCCTCCCGTAGGTCAGGCGGCTGATGGTAACGTTGGGCGGGGCCGGATACCCTGGCAGGGAGGGGAGAACCCGCGCAGGCATGTGCACACCCACAGCCAGGTTTGGGTGCCAGTGTGCCTGGGCACCCATGTTTGCTTAGTCTCATTGAGAGCTGGGAGAGGCCCTGGACTGGGATGTGCAGATGTGATCATCTCTGTGTGGTTTGGGTCTGTGTTGCCCTAGACTTCCATGTCTGGGCCTCCGTTCCCTCGTCTATACGCTGGGGACAAGGAGACGGAGCTCTGTTTGCATGTGACTGACCCTCACACCGCCCAGCCAGGTTTGTGTGCCTGAGGGAGCTAGCCTGTCCAAATTCCGGAGTAGGAATTCCAGTGCCTCCCACCTACAGGGCTCTGTGGGGCTGCAGGGCTTCCATCTCCCTCGCCACCCAAGCGCGCCCGCCCCTCACTCACTCAGGACCTCCAGCAGGACGCTGCGGCTGCGGCTGCCCAAGGCGTTGCGGGCCACACACTGGTAGGCGCCCCTGTGGCGAGCTGGGTCTGCCCCTCGGATGCTAAGGTGGAGCTGGGCCCCCTCCAGGTGCAGCGTGAATCCGGAAGTGCCCGGTTCCACCGGCTGTCCCTGGGGTCCCAGCCAGAGGAGGCGGGCAGGTGGCGTGCCCCCCTGGAGGGTGCACACCAGCAAGGCCTCTTCCCCCTCCAGGACTGACACCCAGGGCTTAGCCACTGCCAGTTGTGGGGCTTCTGCGGGGACAGAGAGAGGGAGGCTGGGAGATGCCCTGGCCCCCAGACTAGTAGGAGGGCCTGGGGCTAAGGTGCAGGCCAGCGGTGGAGGGGGCGGGAAAGAAAGGAGACAGAGACTGTGGAGTTGACAGCGAAGGTTGTCTCGGGCCTCTGTGCCTCCTCTCTCAGGTTTCCATTCTGAGCTGCATCCCATCACACTCTGCCCCAGGGCACAGTGATAACAGCATTGTTCCTCCACCCAAGCCCAGGCCGGCTCCGCAGGTGGGGCGCCTGCCTTATTCACCTGAACATTAACCGCCCCCCACTCCGGCCGCTGCACAGCACCTCCTCACTCCCAGCGGCAACCGCCTCCCGCCCTGCGCAGGGCTGGGCCCATAGCGAGTGCTCGCTTTTTATGGGCTGACTCCTGAAGACCCCCCTGCAGGTGCCAAGGAACCTCTGATGGAATGTGCAGCCCTGAGACTACTAGGGGAGGGAAATACATTGGGTTGAGCAATTTCTTAGGCCCCTGAAAACAGGCTGGTCACCAGGGCTTAAGAAGTATTATGTTTAAGGGCTCCTCTGCTAGCTTTTCCCAATTTTTCATTCAATGTTTAATTCTTTTTCTTGAGTCAACAATAGATGGGCCTGGCAGGGAGAAACCTGACCAAAGGCAACCAGAAAGAGTGAGAGAGGTAAAGACCTCTGGCAGCTGAAACACTCATTTGAGGCAGGAAGATAACCAGGCCCTTCTCATGTAAATTAATGCAAATGAGGCCGACAGTCAGAGCCCCTCATTGGCTAGATGGGTGCTACCCAGCCACGTGAGACGACTAAGCACGTGAAACGTATAGCCAGTCCCCCCTGAGATGTGCTGGAACTTGTAAATACACCAGATTTTGAAGACAACAGGGAAAAAAAGCCATAATATATCTCGTTAATAATTTTCTGTTACACATTGAAATGATCATATGTTGGCTATATTGAGCTGAAGAAAATGTTTTGCTATGTCTTTTTGCTTTTTAAAATGTGTCTACTAGAAAACTTAAAATTTAACATATGGCTTACATTATATTTCCATCGGACAGCACAGACCTAGACTAAACCCCCTGATTTTATGGATCAGAAACACTCGAGTCCCTTGGAGGTGAGGTGACTCAGTCTCTTGACTCACTTTGCATTCCAGCCACCCCCCCAGAGACCCTCATCCCGATTCCAAAGGGCCGCTGCCCCCACCCTGGCCCTACGGTGCCGCCCCCAGCCCCAACTCACCCAGCCGGAGCCGGCAGCGGGGGCCGGGGGCCCTGAGCGGGTGAGCGCCCTGGCAGCTGAACTCTGTGCCCGCCAGGTCTTCCCGGGCCCGCAGGCGGTGGATGGCCCGCGAGGAGCCGCTGCCGCCCAGGGGCCGCTGCTGTGCATCCAGCCAGCTCAGCAGGGCGGGGGGCTCGCCCCCAGCCCACTCACAGCTCAGCATGATGAACTGGTCTCCAGCTGTGGACGTGGTCCAGCAAGCAGGGCTCTGGAGAGGTTCCCCTGAGTAGGGAATAAATGGCTCAGCCTGGCCCTATGTGGGGAGTGGGACTCAGCAGCCTCGCCCCATCCCTCCATCCTTCATTTCTTGCTTCATTCACCCATTCCTCCATTTACTCAGTCAACTCATTTATTTTTTTTAATCATCGTTTATTGAAGGCTGACCATGTGCCAGAGAAATAGTGGGAACAAACATTAAGCTAACAAATACAATACAATGTGATGAATGCTGGACTATAGGAGGAAAGACAGCTCTCTGGGGCTTCAGGGAGAAAGACTTTGAAAACAGGATGACGTTTGAACTTGGACTTGTAGATAGATAGGTGTTTTCAATGTGGAGAGAAAGGGACAGGCACAGCCCAAGGCCACCATGCATCAAACAGTAGAAATAGAGTGGCAGGCGGCTGAGAGCTCACTGACCCTGGAGGCAGGGGACAGCTCAGAGAGTGTCCCCAGGCTCCAAACCTGAACTGCAGAGGACAGGCCACAGTGTAGATGGAGACCAGGACCGAGAGGGGAGACGCTGGGAGGCAGGTCTGAGCAGAGCGCTGCCCACCTCCTTGTCACATGGCAGGTCCCAGAGTCGGTGGCCTGGAGCTTCCCCCAAGTCCGAGGGCCCCGCCCTTCTCTCCCCTGACCCCTACCCTCTCCTCAGCCTGGGACGCCCGAGCCCTGCTGTCCCCAGGGTCCACTCACGCAGTGCGATCCTGCAGAGGGCGGGCGGCGCCAGGGCCGGGTGCTGGCCAGTGCAGGTGAAGGCGCTGCCATTGGGCAGCTGGGTGGCTGCGTGGCTCCAGGTGACATTGCTGAGGGCAGTAGGGCCCGTTCCCTGGGGCCCTTCCCACTGCAGCTGGGCAGCTGGAAGCCCCCCGGGCCAGGTGCAGACCAAAGTCACGGCCCCAGGGGTGGGGAGCACTGCACAGGAGGGCTGCCCCTCGGGGGGGTCTGGGGGAGAAGGGGGTTCGGGTGGGGCTGGCCCAGGCCGCGTGGCCGGTGACCTGGAGGTGCCAGGGTAGCAGGGTGGGGAGAGGTGGGTGAGCAGGGAAAGGCTGACGCCTCTGAGGGGCAGGTGAGCAGAAGGCGGAGCTCTCTGGTCAGGGGCAGGGGCAGGGGCAGGGGCTTGGGGCTTGGGCAGGAGGGCAGAGTCACTGGGCAACCCCAGGCTCCCATGGAAGCCCCCAGCAGCGAAGTGCCCTTGTGTCCCATTCTTGTCCTTGCTCTGGGCACCTTGTCTCACTGTCCTTGCTGTACCCTTCTCTGTGCCTCAGTTCAGTCCCGGGGATGGTGGGAAGAATCACTTCAAAGGGGGGCTTTCTATGTAGGGTCAGAGGCTGTCCCTCCCCCTGCCCCTTCCAGTGGTTTCTTCAGCCTCCTCCCTCTCTGCAACTCCATTTGGCCCCCAAGCCCAGCCTCCTGCCCCTTCCTCCCCAGTTCCCACAGGGCGTCTGCAGTTCCCGGGGGCGCAGGTGCGAGGAGGCTCTGGCGGGAGGGCCCCTCCCCACACACTCACAGTAGATGGTGAGCCGGACGGCAGCCTGTGTGTGGGCGTCCAGGCGGCTGTTGTGGGCCAGGCAGGTGTACAGGCCCGTGTGGGTGGGGCTGGCGCTGACGATGGTGTAGGTGGGCCCAGCGTGGACCTGGGTGTGCTCACGCAGCCACACATAGCGACTGGGGGGATTGGACGCGGCCCGGCAGCTCAGAGTCACCTCCTCCCTCTCACTGGCCCAGAAGCCCTCGTCGGTGAAGCCCGGCGGCTCCACAGTGATCACAGGATCGTCTGGACCATCTGGAGGGCAAGGAAGGACCATCATACCTCCCCCGTGGGCCCTCATTCCTTCATCCCTCCATGCAATGGTTGCTGAACTTACTCCCCACCCAGCCGCCACGAACTAGGCACCAACCGCGTCAACCACTATGCGAGGCCCGCAAGGAGCCCAGAGTCCAGATCAGGGTCTGGGAGCTGAGCCCTGAGGCTGTGGGGGCCCAGAGGGCACCTGCGAGCCTTCCCTGAGGGACTGGTGGGTTGGGCTGAGGTGGGGGCATAGGCAGAGTCGGCCAGGAGAAGGGGGTAGGGCGCCCAGCCCTCTCCCACTGCCTGGCATTGAAGGCTTTCTCGGTCCAGTTGGTCCTTCTTGACTGGAAAGGGGAGAGAACAGGGTGGGAAGCGCCCTGGGCGTGATCCCAGGAGCCGGCCCTTTCCGCTCCTTGGTGTGACCCCCTTCCCCCGCCCACTGTGTCCCCTTCCTCCCTGATTCCTGAGCAACACTGAATGATTTTGCATGCTTCCATTCTGCTTCTACATCCTTCCAAGAACTGCTCATCCCTCTCCTCCGCTGTCCTTGATTTACAATTCCCACAAACCACTTTCAAGACAGACAGGACACCGTCAGTCCCTGCTCCTTAAATCCTCTAGGCCAGTACTGCCCCACAGATACAGGTGGGCCACCGACGTTTAAAACATCCAGCAGCCGGGTCTTCAAAAGAAAAAATACCCAACTCACCCAAGCAAAGCCCATCAATGGGTCTTAATAATTTAAAAATTTTTTATTTAACCAAATATATCCAGAATATTATCATTTCAGAGTATAATCGATATAAAAGATTATTGATGAGCTATTTTATATTCTTTCTTTAGACGACGTCCTCAAAGTCCACTGTGAATGTCACACTCTAGGCGCATCGGCTCTGGGCTCAGTCCCGTTGCAAGTGCTCGCTGCCCCGCAAGAGGCTGTGCCCGGCCCAGGGCTGCTCTAGACCAGCCGGTCTCAACCTTTCACAGACTTCTGATCTCACCCAGAAGGTCATCGGCATTCTCTGTTCTCTTTACTGAAATAACTGTTCTGGCCTTTTGTCCACTTTTGGAGAGCTTGCTGCTTCCTCCTCACTGTCTGGGAGTTCTTTGCACATTCTGAAAATAATCCCTTGTTTGCTCTCTGAAGCCCCTCTTGGGACCAACTGGCTGCCCTCTCTTCCCTCAGGGCTCTATCCCTGTTTCCTCAGCTGCATGTGGTCCCTGAGGGTCCTTCAGGCTTAACCCAAAGACCTGTGGGTAAATTGTGACTACAAATCTATGCACGTTTTCCTGGGTGGAGGGGCCCACGACCTTGACCAGGTTCAAGCCCCTTGTACTGGAGCTGCATTTGGCTCTGGTGGGTGCACTGCCCCAGCCTGGGGCCCTCCTGGGGACCCTGAGGTGTGCCAGGAGGCCGAGCACGGGTCGGGGTGTGGGCCAGCCCTGACCCCCTCCCCTCCAATGCCTGACTCACAGATGACATCCAGGAAGGCGGCGTCACTGCTCAGCTGGTTGACGGCATTGCGGGCACTGCACACGTACCAGCCCAAGTGTGTCCGATTAACGGGGTCCAGTGGCAGCAGTTGCTCTGTGACCCCCACCAGGGCCTCCCCAGGGCCTCCGGGTGCCTGATGCTTCCAAGCAAAGGTCACAGGCTCCGTGCCCTCCCGCACTTTGCACGTGGCCAGCACAGATGTCCCCTCCACTGGGGACGGCTGACTCAGCTGCACCTGAGGCTTCGATACAGGCACTGGCAGAAAAAGTAAAGGCCCTGTGTTTGTTCTCGCAGGCCCAGGCCGTGCGCGTCTGCGTCCGCTGGCCCGGCCCTCACTGTCTGGGGCTGGCCTGCCCACTGGGTTCCTGAGCGTCCTAGGCCTCCTCCTCCCCGGGGGCAGACCCTGCAGAACCTGGGCCCTGCAGAACACAACGCGAAGCACGTGCGAAGGGATGCAAAGCAGCAGGCACAGCCGCTCCAGCCCAGGCCCCAGGCTAGGCCCCTCACCGAGCACGGCCAGGCTGAAGTGGGAGTAGGTGGTGTGCAGCCGGCCTCCGGACGCCTGCAGGGCCTGGCATAGGAAGTGGCCGCGGGCCCCCTCGCGCAGCTCCCCCAGCACCAGGCTGCTGTTCCGCAGGCTCACGGTCCCCAGAACCGAGGCCCCAGCCTCCACCTTGACCTCTGCTCCATTGGCGACAGCCACAGGCCGGGGGATTAGCGAGCCCAGGGGGGCGAAGCTCCAGAAGACCACCAGGGGGGCAGGTGGGGAGCCACAGGCCAGCTCCACAGAGCCACCCCTCACTCCCTGGATGGACGCCACCTTCTCGTCGGGCTGCCCTGAGGACAGAGACGACACAGGCACCTGAGCTGTCCTGGGTTCTCCTGCTCCACACCCCCTTTCCCAGAGCCTCTGGTCCTCTCTGCAGTCAGCCGACTGCGCGGGGCTTTGTGAGACAGCACGAGCCCTCCTGGAGTTGGGGTACAGAGACGGTTTCTGGGGAGCCTCCTGCTCAGTGGTGCCGGAGGAGCGGGAGGACCGGGCCGCCTGCGGGACCCTCAGCTGAGATCAGGGATTGGGTCGGGGCAGAGGTTCCCTCCCGGCAGTCATCCGACCATGTGGAAAGCTTGATAGAAATGTAGATTCCTGGGCCTCATTCCAGATGACTGAGTCGGGTTCTCCAGGGCATCAGCGCCTGGTAAGCTGCATTTCTAACAAGCGTCCAGGAGTCCCTCTCATGGTTGGCCAGATGGTCCCTCAAGGGTCAGGCGACCTAAGTGGCCACTGGCAATTCAGGGTCTGGGGACCTCAGTGTAAGGACTCCAGGGGTCTCCAGGCCCATCAGCAAAGGGAAGGCGACTCCTCATGCCATCAGCCCATCCAGCATTTATTCATTTGTCAACTGCCAGGCACCAGGATGACAATGGCAAAGGAGCCACCCGTGGTGACTCTCCTGGAGCTTTCGGTCTATCAGAGTCAGGCATTAGACGGTCATTACAGGCCAGGGCCGTCCAAGTCTCGCCTGGAGCCCCAGCATCCTCCAGGGCACTGTGTGCTCCTGCCCCGTAAAGTGCCGGCAGCCTTAGCCAACAGTGGTTAAAATCAGAGCCACAGAGGAAATGAGGCGCAGGCGTGAGGCACACGGGCTCGCATTTGCTGAGTGCGAGGCCCTGCCCTGGGCCCTTCTCGTCATCACCTCCTGACCTTGATCGTTCTAATAAGGGCATCCTCTGAGACTCGGAAACTCGATATCACTCTGTCCAAAACCGCCCGATAGGTGGTGGAGCCCTAACTCACAACCTGAGACTCTCCCCACTGCTCTCAGCTTCTCCAGACAGAGAAGCGAAGAGAGTCGGAGGGAAGGGATCAAAGGCAAAATTTGGATGTTCAATGAACCAAAAAGGACAAGAACCCAGAAACCGATTCCTTCCGGTGCCAACAGCTGCCAGGGCATGAAGGCCAGCCCGTGTGGGGGGAATGTTAGGAAACCAGATCGGACCACGCCCACGCCCCCTCTGTGCTTGCAGCCCGACAAGGGTCCTGTGAATAACTCCAGGTTTAAGGTGGCACAGAGTGCTGTGTCCTGGCCCTGCCTCCCCCACCACGGCCGGCCGCAAGTCACAGTCACTCAGGGCTGCTGGCTAATGTCTAGCAGATCATTGAAGTTAATGGCCTTCACTGAATGGCTATGCGCATGCAAAAGGAAGAGCCGAGGAAGAGGGGAAAGAAGTAATGGGATGTGAGTGGGGGGTAGTTTTAGTATCACTCACCTGACGCCCCCAAACACAGAAGGCAGAAGGGTAGCAGCGGCAGGGGGCTGGGCAGTCTACGCAGGACCCGCGGGCTCACCATGGCCCCATCCCCTGGGTGGCTGTCCGTCTGAGATGGAGCCGGCCCGGCTCTCGGGCTCCGTCTGCCCAGAGCAAAGCCCAGCCCTGGAAGGACAGGGTTCTGGCTCAGGTTGCCCACCCCAGGTTCCAACACCTTCACCCCCGCCCTCCTGTTACCCTCACTGCCCTGATTAAGGGTGAATTATTTACCAGATGATTCATTCCATCCATAATGCAGAGTTGTGGAAGGCAAGACCTGGCCGCGGCGCATTTGGGGAGGACCCCAGGCTCCCCGGCCTTTCTATTTTAGGATAACGTGTGAGTGTCACTGAGATAGGGTTGAAAAAGGCCCCAAGTTCATCAAGCCCAGCCGCCTGCCGTGTGAAGGGCCCGGGGCGTGCAGCCCTGCAGACCACAGGGACCCCAAAGCACAAACACGCCTGTGGATGGCCTCGCACCCTGTCTTTCCTCCCGGTCTGTTAGGACAAGCAGACGAGCCATGGAAGGGGCTCTGGAATCAGAAAGCTCCTGTTTGGGCTTGAATGAGGAACTGTAACACTTTAGGAAATTTCTGAGCCTCTTGAGTCTTAAGTTTTTTCACAGAGAAATGGAGATAACCTTCTTTCTTGTAAAGATTATTGTGACTGTGAAATGAAAACACTTATATTAGCATATGGGCTCTCCTTGGGTGCTAGTAATGTCATATTTCTTGACTTGAGTAGAGGTTAAAGTTCATCAAGCTGTGCCTTCATTTTTTATATACTTTTACATATGCTTGATAAAACACACACACACACACACACACACAGGAGCAGCACCAGCATGCAGCGGTGCACCATCAGGCCTGCGCCTACCTGGATTTGACCTACAAATTCCTGGACCCTGGAGCTGGCCTCCTCCGGACCAGGCCTCCCCGAATCCCCGTGTGCTTGTGCACGAGCATGCGTGCTCTCGCTCTCTCTCTCTCTCTCTGTCTCTCTCTCTCAATGCCCTGCTGCCCTATAACTGTCTTTACATGACACCTTGAGATGAGGTCAGAGTTTTCCATCCTCTGGTGACAGATTGAGAGGGTGAGAATCCTAGACCCCAGAGACACTGGGGATCTGATATCTGGTGTCAGGTTCATCGGGGCTGAGCAGGGACAGGAGATTTCAGAGCTGAGCGCCAGGCAGGGCACCCCCACACCCCGCCGCCCAGAGATGCTCGCTGTGGCCCTCTCGGCCTTGCACTTGCCCTAAGACTGTGGACAGACCCCTGCCTCTCTCTCACTCAACCCAAGGGCCCCCATGCCGTCTTAGGGTCTGGAACCCCCACTCGGCTTTATGCAGAACGGCAGGTGGTCCCTGGGAGGTGGCTCCCCTGAAGCGGGGCTGGCACGTGTTTGACTGACCGTGGTGTCCAGGCCCGAGGCCCACTTATCTTGGCCCCCACCCTAAACTGGGAATATCTTCAGAACTCCATTGGAGGTTCCTTGGGGAGCAAAGCATTGGGCTTGACCCTGGTTGGACCCTGCCGTCTACCCCAGGGTGGGCAGTAGCCCTGCCTCTGGGACAAATGTGAGAATTTGGGCAGGTCACTTTGGAAACCGTGATTCGCTGGCCTATAGCTAGCATTTGTGCTGGTCCTGAAGCCAAGCTATTCTCTTGTGGAGTTAGGCCCCTTCTTACCTAGGACCCCAGGGTAATGGCAGACTTGAGAGGTGCTTCTCAGCCGACGCTGTCTGTTTCCTTAGCAAGGGAGACCTTGGGAGGGAGAGTCGGAGAAGGAGGTGTATTACCAAGGATTCTCCAAACAAAATTGATAGGATGTGTATGTACATAAAGTGAGATCTATTACAAGAAATTGTTGCCCTGGCCAAATGGCTTGGTTGGTTGAAGTGTTGTCCTGTACACCAAAAGGCTGCAAGTTCAATTCCCACCCAGGGCACATACTGAAGTTGCAAGTTTGATCCTGGGTTGGGATACGTACAGGAGACAACTGATCGATGTCTCTTTCTCACATTAATGTTTCTCTTTCTCACTTCCTTCCTCTTTCTCTAAAATCAATAAACATATCCTCGGATGAGGATTTAGACAAGAGAAATGGCTCACTTGAATGTGGGGGCTGGCGAGTTCCAAGGTCTACGGCCCGCCTGCCGGAGACCCAGGAGGGCGCCAGTGTAAGTTCCCGTGTGAAAGCGGGCAAGCCCGAGGCTCCGGGAGAGCTGATATTTCAGTTCTAGGCCAGAGGCAGGGAAGCACCACCGTCCCAGCTCTAAGCAGTCAGGCGGGAGGAGCCCCCTCTCCTTTGGGGGAAGGTTGACCTTTTGGTCCCATCCGGGCCTCCCACTGATTGGATGAGGCCCGCCCACATGGGGTGGGGGCACTCTGCATCACTGGGTCCAAAGAGTCGACTGTTAGTCTCATCCGGAAACACCTTCAAAGACACATCCAGAACCATGTTTGGCCAAATATGCGGGACCGTGGCCTAGTGAAGCTGACACACAGATTAACTATCACAGAGGTGCGGGGTCTCAGCTAAACTCAGAAAAGGGGAGGTTATAAGGATGGGCTTGAGGATCCAGTGCCTTGAGTGTGTGAGGTGAAATTTTGGAGAACCAGGCTGAGGGCTCTGAACGGATCTGTGGAATCTCCCCTGTGGCCCGGGAGGCCCCTCTGCGGCCTTCCAGACAGAGGGCCCTTCAGCCTTTCCTTTGACCAGCATCGGTGGGTGCTGCATAACCTGAGGGACCGGCCCCGAGCCTCACCGTCCTCGTCTTCCATAACGACCTCATTAGGATATTGGACAGGTAAGACGCAACCACACACAACAGGCACCTTGTAGGCACCTAGCACATGGTACATGTTCAATAAATGTGTGTTCTTGAGCTCTTTCTATTCCGGTTGAACTGGAATCTGCTTCCCTAACACTCCTACCCTTGCGGTTGAGTTCTACTGAAGCTTTACAAAATTATTCACATCTCTCTTCGAAATGAAAGTCATCCCAGCCCTGCCTCTTGTGGCTCAGTTGGTTAGGTGTTGTCCCACAAAGCAAAAGGCTGCAGGTTCGATTCCCAGTCAGGGCACATGCCTGGGTTGTGGGTTCTGTCCCTGATTGGCCAATTGATTTCTCTCCCTCTCTTTTTCCCTCCCTGCCCTTCTCTCTAAAATTAATAAATAAAGTCTATAAAAAAAGAAAAAGTCATCCCATATTTCAAACAGCATATCCAGCCCTTCTTTTTCTCCACCTAAATAATAGTGGCCGACCATGCGTTGCCAGCCATGTGCCAGGTGCGCTAGGTGTTTTCAACCCCCAGGAGACAGCCCTGCTCTCCACAGTTTACAAATAGGCTCAAACTCTCTGCACTTTCTTCCCCGACGACTCGGCTTCCCGTGCCCACGTTGCGCCCCACATTTGGGCGCTCTCCAGCTCATCCCCATGCGCCTGAGGCTGTGTCCACACCGGGCTGGCCAGGAGCCTACGGAACTGCCAGGTTCCTTCTCTCTGACGAGACGGATAAAATCTTTCTCCGTTAAGCACTGTGTTAGAGTTTTGTTTATCCACCTAGTTAACATTTATTTCCTGGCCACTGGCTGTGTTTGCTCTTTTGCTTTCCGGGGTGCATGAGGAAACTGGGCAGACCTCACTGTTCTGATAGGAGAAGGTGGCCCCACAGGGCCCCAGGCTTTTGACCAGGCAGAGGTGTGGTTGCAACAAGAGCCCAGGTTTCTGAGAACCTTCGGTTTGGCTACAGGCAGCAGTGAGCCTGACTGTGTCAGACTCGGGGCCAGATGACCCGTCCCGGTCTCCTCCTGCCTTACACTCTCATCCCCGCCGCTCTCGGCCGCCCCGCAGGGCCCCCCTCCTGCGCTGTGGGGTTGACCCCAGCCCTCTGGCCTGCTGTGACCATGTGGAGCCCTGATTCTGAGAGCCTGGGCTTCAGGAGGAGCAGAGTGTGGAAGGGTTGGGATTGCCGGGCTGAGCGGAGGAAGCAGATGCTCCTGGAAATAAATGGCTTTTCCATGTGTGTCCACGTGTGCCTCGTCGGAGACCAACCGCGGGCCCTCGGGAACCCCAGCAGCAGATGAGCCAGGGCTGGAGAGGAAACGGGCCAGAGGCTCGGCAGCCCCGCCGACATGGCTCCTGCTGCGTCTGTGGCTGAGAGGAGGAGGGAGCAGGGCAAAGGGGGCCAGAGGGCCCGGCAGGGGTCACTGCCCAGTCACTTTGTAACTGTTCCTTGGAGGAAGCAAGGGGATGAATGAGGCCCTAGGCTGAGGGGTGAAGAAAGGAGGCCGAAGATCAGGAGAGGAAAGAAGGGGGCGGGGGAGGCTGGGGAGGCTGAGGCCAAGGGGGAGGCTAGAGGGCGGGAGGCCCGGCTTCTGGGCCAGCTCTGCCCGGCAACTGCCCTCCTTGCATCTGCTTTGCGGTTTGGAGCGCCCCCACGGCCAGTCCTTCCCAGGGCACTGTGGACAAGACACTCCACTGGGCCTCTGCCTCCTGATCCGGTAACAGTGTGATTGTAATAACGCCTGCCCAGTCTCCGCGTCGCTGTGAGAGCTGGAGGGGCGGACGACAGGGAGGGGGCAGTGTACAAAAGGGGGGCTTGGCGGAGTCCAGCCTGGGCCCAGACCGGCTCAGATCCTGGCTCTGTTGCCCAGTAGCTGGATGACAAAAAACGAAGTGACTTACCCACCCAAGTCTCAGTGTTTCCCTCTGAATGGAGGCAAATTGTTTATTAGATAATATTAGAAAACTGTTCATTTTATGAGCAATAATAGTTTTGTGATCATGTAAGACAATGTTTCTATTTTTTAAAATGTATACTATAATATTCAGGGATGAAATATAGTAGTGTCTTTATTTGACTTTAAAATACCTCCGCAAAAATAAAATCGATGGCGCCTTAGCCAGGTCCTCAGTTCTACTTTGCCTCATGATTGTTCAGGGCAGAAGCAAAACCCATGTTAACATTTCCCTACTTTTGTAAAAGCCTGAATTGATTGAAAGGTTGTATTAGGTGTTCTTGGTGGAAGTTGCGAGAAA